CCATTACGCCGCACATGTTACATATCGCCGCGAACGTCGGAGTGAGAGCAATAATTGTAGGGCCATCAATCACTGATAACACTAAACTGATGAGCGGTAAAAGCTTTTAAAGCGTCGCCCATGGCCAATTTTGGGTACGGTAATTTTCTGCGATTTCGCGGGTGCGCGCAATTTTAAAGCTTGACATGTTTGGTGTCTATTTACCCGACCGTTTATATTTTACCAAAAAACTGGGTAATAATAAATGTTTCCTAACATAATGTTAAAAAAACCTTTTTTTTCCCCAAATTTTCTGTAATTTTTCCTAATTATAGTAAAAAATAAAAACCCCAGTTGTGATTAAATACCACCGAAAGAAAGCTCTATCTGTCCCCAAAAAATGGTATAAAATTCATTTCAGTACAGCGCTGCATGACGGAATAAACGTCAGTCAAAGTACCGCAGCGCTGAATACTGAAAAATGGCCTGGCCAGGAAGGGGGTCTAAACACCTGGTCTTGAAGTGGTTAAAGTGGGGTGAGCTGGAGCTATGGCTGCGAGGGAGCTCTATCAATATGTGAATTGCTTACAGCTCCCTCGCGTGTCCTGTAGAGGTGCCTGGACCGGAGTGACGTCACATTCTGGCTCCCGGCACCTCTACAGGGTGCATAAGGGAGCTGTACAAGCAATGCACGTATGGATGGAGATCAGTCATAGCACAGCAACCCACACTGGACTCCAGGCTGAGGATCCACTCCAGTTCTCATAAGATAGGAAGGCTGGGTGGATCTTAAAAACAAAACAAAACCATTTTTGGGAGTGTGTGAGATTGTCTGTGGTCGTGTGTGTGTCAGTGGTTTAGAGCAGTGGTTCTCAACCTGTGTAACCTCAGGACCCACATTTGTTCTCGACCATTAAGTCGCTACCCAAGTCGCACTGCAATGGAACACACTGCAGTGTGGGCTGCTGCGCTGTGACGGAGCTCCATCCATACGTGCATAGCTTGTAGAACTCACATGCGTACCCTGTAGAGGTGGCGGGAGCCAGAATGTGATGTCACTCCGGTCCAGGCACCTCTACAGGAGGGAGCTATAAACAATGCATGTATGGATGGAGCTCCCTCACGGCATACCCCCCAGCCCAACCCACCTCAAGTCAACACCGGGCAGCATATTTTGAATGGCTGCTCAGTGTAAGACTGGACAGTGCTGTGCTAAGGGGAGTCAGGAGAGCCTCTCACATAGAAAAGTGGAAGGCATGCAGTGACCCACTGAACACGGGGTCACGACCCACTTTTGGGTCACGACAGACCAGTTGAGAACCGAGTGTTTAGAGCAGTGGTTCTCAACCTTTCTAGGGCCGGGACCCCTTGGTAACATTTGCCAAGTTGTGGTGACCCCCAACGGTAAAATTTAGGGTTGACGCGGCTGCTGCAGCGACATCTGGCGGCGTGGCGGGAGAACTGACACTGCTGCGCTAGGAGAGGGCTGAGGAGGACTCTCACCTAGCACAGCAGAAATCACACAGCGACCCCACAGGTTGAGAACCACTGCTGTAACAGATAAAATGGCAAACCATATAACACAAGCCGAGGGTGTCAGCTTTTATTATTAATAATAATAATAATGATGATAATCTAATAGCTATCTAATAGTGGGAGACTCCCGGCGACCCCTGGCAAATTGTCATTCGACCCCCAAAGGGGTCCCGACCCATAGGTTGAGAACCGCTGGTTTAGAGGGACCGTTCACACTAGTACAGTGTGTTAATCGCACAGTCCCATGCGATTAACACACTGTACCACGCAATCCACCTTCTGTTGTGGGAGGTGTGTTGCATTGCCATTCATTTGAATGGCACCCCAATCGTAGCTCCCACCCACAGTTTGATCCCCTGCACTGGAACACGCGGTACCGCAATGCCGTGCGTTCCATTGCGGTCGCGACTTAATGACCGAGGACGAATGTGGGTCCTGAGGTTACACCGGTTGAGAACCACTTCCAGGGTGATCTTTTCTCACCCCCAGCACGTCTATGATATGTCAATGTTTCTAACTCAATTTATATTCTAATGATAAACACAGCAGAAGGGGCATTACCCCTAATTTCTGTACCCTCTCCCCTGTATTGGATGATCTATAGGACTATATGAAAATCTTGCCCTATTCCACCCAAAAACAAACGGAGAGTGGTGCGAATAATGTGCAATGTGAGTCCTGACCCGGGACTATTTTCTAAGCAGAGGATATAACTTACTGTTTTCCCAGAATGGGAATCGAGGAAGACCAGGACAAAGCAGTCTGTGAATTTCTGATTGAGGACCACCTGGAAGGAGAGACAACCACACAAAGATAAATGAGGATAAACGATTGCACGCAGACCAGGAGGACGAGAAGAAAGGACGGAGGCGGCCAGCAACAGCGCACTCCTACAGTTCACTCCGTGCGAATACATCTTATATAAAAGGCTATTAAACTGTGTCACTCATATTATAAGATGTCTGCAGAATTTGGAGTTCTTAAGAACTATAGAATGGACTGTTTCGGTAGGACTCATAACTCATAGCTGTTGCTAGATTTAGGCTGGGTTCAAACCTAGGCGTATCGAATATGCACGTTTCCGAGGGCTACCCGGCTGTATCCCAATGGATATGCGCAGCAAATACGCCCCAAAGAAGCTCCTGTACTGCTTTGGGCGTAGGGCGTTTTGCAGCGCGTTCCTACGCGCTGTAAAACGCCCAGGTGGGAACCATGCCCATAGGCAATGATTGGTCATCATGTTGAGCGTTTTACAGAGCGTAGGAACGCGCTGTAAAACGCCCAGGTGTGAACCAGGCCTTAAAGGAAGTTCTGTAGAGATAAAACAACTGGATTGTGTGGCCAACTTAAAGTGTGTGTACACCCCACCAATTAACTAGAGGTGGCCATGTGCAAATTTTGGCTGGTTCTTGAGGAGCCCTTTTGGCCCGCCATCCCTCCATCAGCTGATTGAAGGAGCCGGTTGGGAAATCTTCATACAAACCGAGCTGGCGGCCAATGGGCCCGCCGGCTCTGTTCAGGTATTTTGACAGTGGCTGGCAGCCACTGAGTGATACACAAATAAGATACATTGTATTTCAGAGTTAATTTTCTTGAATGTATTTTTAAGATTTAATTCCTGAGAATGACTTTCCCTTTGCAGCCTGTAGACTACCAGACTTTAGGCCTGGTTCACACCTGGGCGTTTTACAACGCGTTGCTACGCTCTGTAAACGCTCAGCATGTGAAAACCAATGATTGCCTATGGGCATGGTTTCATCTGGGCGTTTTACAGTGCGTAGGAACGCGCTGCAAAACACCCTACGCCCAAAGAAGTACAGGAGCTTCTTTGGGGCGTATTTGCCGCGCGTATGCATTGGGATACAGCCAGGTAGCCCTTGGAAACGTGTGTTTGTCGCAAGTAAAAACACGCGACAAACGCGCATATTTGATATGCCCAGGTGTGAACCCAGCCTTAGTGTCACAGAAACAGCTTACATCTAGCTCTGATAGCCTACAGGCTGCAAAGGGACAGTCATTCTGGTGCTGGGAAGGAGGTGAGCCGATCACTCACCAGATACTGCGTCCCGTTCTCCGGGTTGTGGAAGTGCCGGCAGCTCTGGGGAAATCGGTTCAGCAGAACCTTAATAAGACTCTGATACCACGGAACGCTCATGGAAAGGAGAAAATCCTGCAGGAGAAGGGGAGAGAGAGAAGGTAACAGCCAATTATTGAGCAGAATACAGAGTTCGTCTCTTCCTTCACATTTCCAAGAGAGCAGACGACTATTAGGGGTCCACAGATGAAGTCATGGAAATTCTTTCACATATTTTGTATTATTTTAAAGCTAAAAACTCCAAGCACAAAGGATATAAATTCACATTGGGTGCACTAGAAGGGGAATGTTGTACTCACCATAAAATCCTTTGATAAGAGTCCACTGAGGGACACAGGAAATCTTCAGGAGGATTGGACACTGGCATAAAAATACATGCAGGCCAGCTCAGGATAACTACCAACAGGCTTCAGTTTTGCAGCGAGCATGATCATAAACAGAGGGGTGGGACCTATGTTCCCCAATGGATTCCAAGAAAAGGATTTTACAATGAGTAGAAGAATCCGATTTTTTTTTTCGTCCATTGAAGCACACAGGAAGTCTATCGCCTCAATGCTGTATGGCAGGAAAGAGACTGCAGAGCGCGCGAGTGACACTCCACCCAGCAGGTGACATTAGCACTTCATCACACAGCGTTACCCCTCCTGCAGCAAATCCATCGGGAACGGGGAATAGTAGCACCTAGAAACCAAAGCAAATGAGTCTTCAGAGGCAAACATTTGGGCAATGGCAGTGTCTCTGGACATGGAAAGCACTCCGCAGCTAACTTTGACCAGAACCGAGGCTAAATTATTCCTGACGTGGAACCAAGTGGCCAAAAATCACTTCCAGGCTATCCCTGCAATGTTCAGTTCAGTGGAGTCTGGATGCTTCACTGCAAATGTCTGATTGAAGCGAACCGCACTGGATGGCTGCAACTGAGAGACAAAACACCAGCAGCGAAGTAGAGAAGAGCGTTCATTGCACAAAAAAAGTACTAGCAAAGAAAAATTGTTTAGTCTTTAAAGGAGAACTATGGGGTCAGGGCTTTTCCCCATAGTTCTCCTTAGGGTAACGGGAGGACACAAACTAGCGTCCTCCCATCACCCTAGGCTCAGTATATAGGGAGCTACAGCTCGCGGTATACTGAGACGCCGCAGCCAGAGCGGATCCGGACATTGATGTCGAGATCCGCCCCGGCTGCGTGACTGACATCTGGCTCTGCCTATCTAGAGGCAGAGCCAGCTGTACCCGCCCCCTCCCCCGTCCGTTCCGCCAGTCAGCGCTGGTGGATCAGAGCGGGGAGAATCCATCCCCTGTCACGGCAGAGAGCCGTGACAGGATCGAGAAGTGAGCGAACGCCGGTATGTGTTCTCTCACCTCCCGATCTACTGAGCCGACCTGTGACAGTCAGGAGGAGTGAAAAGGAGGAGTGAAAAGCACTCACATCATAGTTCTCCTTTAACTCAACAACCAAAGAAAAGACATACATACTCATTGCAGCAAAATACTGAGGCATGTAGGTAGTAGGAGGGGTTATCCTGAGCTGGCCTACAGTTTGTCAGTGTCCTGTAGGCGGCAGTATAACTCGAAGGTGACAAGACTTCCTGTGGCCCAAAATGGACAAGAGACTCTTCGCAGTGGCAGAGAATACCTAGTGATGCAGAGAGAAGAGCTGGCGGAGGAAACCCATCAGCTTCTCCCACTACAGGCTGCCTGCAGGAAACTACATGGGGGCAGATACAAGACCAGTGACGCTGCATAAAGAGAGTGCGCAGAAGTGACTGGTCTATAGTACAGGAAGTTCCAGCACAGAGGCAAAGTACAAGACTGGATTGCTGCACAGATTCTGGAAACAATACACAAAGCTCACCGAGATTCAGGAAAGAACACGCATGACTCTTGTAAACGTTCGGCTTTAAGTGAACGCACACAATCTTGCTGTGCCATCATTTTATGCAAACTCCTACGATTTGAAGGTAATGGAATGTTCTTTCTGGTTGTTTATGATCTGAACAGTATTCAATATCTTTCAGAGTGTAATTGCCGTGTGTGCTAAATGGTTCCCACACTTTACATTTCCTGAAAACAATCAACGGCAAAGAACCACTTCTGAAGAAGTTAAAAACTAATTTTAAAGTAT